CCCAAGAAAAGAATGGAGAAAGGATGGCAGATGGCCACACCCCCAGGGGGGTGATTTCTGTTTTTCTGTCTCACACATGCACCCTATAGCAAAAATCTCTCCTAAAAAAGATTGACTGCTGAAAACTATGCTTATTGAGACTCAGTAGACACTTTCTTTAAATAAAAGTAAGCTGGGCCAGCAGACAGTAGAGTGACTGAAGCAGTTAAGAGTCCTGAACCGGCGGCGTGAATATCACTCCAGGCATGTTGTGCACGTGTGCCCAACATCCCAAGAGGAGATAAAAATTAAGAAGTGAGTCTGTCACTTCTAGGAAAACAAATATCCACACTATGAAAATTTAAGCTTTCAATTAAAAATTAGAATTTTGGAAAATGTATATCCACAACTACATGCTTGATGGCCAAATTTAAAGACTCTTCAACAAAATCAGTTAATATGAGTGAATAAGATTTTCTGATATTTTACAAAGAAGTATGTCCACTTTTTAAAAAACTACATATGATCCATTTTGTATGGAAAAATATATCATGACTTTTATGATGACCCAATACTTTCCAAATGATCAAAGTAAGACATTACAGATGAGTATGGATAAAGTATCTATTTAAGATTCTAGAAAAAGCAATAGATCTTGGGACCAACAGATGGTGTAATGGTTACATTGCTGTACTCTCATGTAGTCAACTGTGGCTTGAGTCCTGGACTCGGTGGGTTGAAACTCATACCAGGCACATATGCGTGCATGCCCAAAATTCCAAGAAAAGGGAAGAGAGGTACTGCAGCATGGCCATCTCTTCTGGGGATGACTTCACAATTTCTGTCTCTCTGGTAAGTGCATGCACCCTATAACAAAAATCTTACAAAAAAAAAAAAAAGAGAGATTTTAATTAAACAAACTACAAGTTCATTAACATAGTTTCAAACTTCTATGCTGCAACTGATCTTTAAGAAATTACCACTTGGCTCAGCCACCAAGTTCAGTGGTTAATGCTGACACCCTCTGATGCTGAAGCCATGTGAAGGCTGTGTTCAGGTCCTGGGTGGCCTGGAGAACATGCTGGACACATGTGCATGTGTGTGTAGGTGCCCAGGGTCCTGAGGAGCTAAAAGGCTGGGCAAAGGAGATCACTGTGACAGGACCACGGCAAGGGTGTGTTCTCTCTCTCCTGTTCTTTCCCACTGCACTTTCCATCATGGAAAAAAAAAATGACCTCTTGTCAAGCTTTGGTTGAGTATCGAAGAAAAGTTACCGTTGCCTTGAAAGGCTATTAAAATATTTATCTCCCCTTTCTGACTTGATCCAACTTTTATTTGTGGGAAGCTGATTTTTCTTCTTTCCTCTCTCTCTCTCTCTTTTTCTTTCTTTCCAGAGAGCACATATTCTTGCTACAGAGAAAGAGAGAAAGCAAGAAAGCAGCCCCATGAGACACGCTCACATCACAATCCCTTCTCCACCATCTCTCCTCCTCTCAAGACTTTGGGCACAGCGCTTGCTTCGGCAGCACATACACTAAAACTGGAACGATACAGAGAAGATTAGCATGGCCCCTGCGCAAGGATGACATTCAAATTCGTGAAGCATTCCATATTTTTAAAGTGCACTTGTAACTAGATTCTAGTTTTGTCCATAGTTTTAGTTTAATATCTTCTGTGAATCAATAAAAGGCAGAAAAAAATGTAAAATAAATCATAAAATTAAATTGAAAAAACACACAACAAAAACATGAAACAGACACAAGTATGATAAGTTATTGTGTAAAGTATTATCTTTGACTTGCTTGACAGCCAATGTATTTATGCTTTGAGAACCGATGTCATATGCTATAAAGATATATAATGATTAGATGTAAATTTGAAAAATTAAAAATAAAAGACTTTGGGCACACACGCACATATACAGGGATGTATGTGGAATTTCTTAAGCCACTGGGTCCTGAACTCAAACCACATAGTCATGTGGGTTCCACCTCACATAACCACCAGGCCACAAGCTGGCCCTCTTCATGTATTTCAACCAAAACAATAGACTACTGAAGCAGCGGCTATGCAAACCCAACTGCATCCTATTACACCAGACAAGCGATCTGCAAACACGTGAAATGATACCATTCTCATCACTATACTTTTGGTTTTCAAACAGTTCATCTTCATTAAAATATGTCACTTATACTTAAAGTAATTGGGTTTATTATTATTTTACAAAAATCAATTTTTTCTTCTTCTTTATTTTTTTTTTTTGCTATAGGGTGCATGCGCTCACCAGACAGACAGAGAGAGACAGAGAGACAGAAAGTGAGAAATCACCCCCCCAAGGGGAATGGCCACGCCACAATCCCTTCTCCTCCGTTCTCCTCTTGGGATCTTGGGCACGCATGCACACGTGCCCACCATGAGTTTAAGCCACCGGGTCCGAGACTCGAATCGTGGTTGACTACATGAGAGGCCAGCGACATAGCCATTACGCTAACTGCTGATCCCCAAAAAATCAATTATTTTTGAAAAAATTTTCAATTTTTAAATTTTAGTTGATTTCATGTTTTCAACTGACATCTACACAAACAAAGTCTCTTCAGGTCCTCAATAACTTTTGAGATTGGGACCAGCAGTTAGCATAATGGCTATGTCTCTGGACTCCTATGTAGTCGACCACGGTTCACATCCCGGACCTGGTGGCTTAAAACTCACGCCGGGCGAGTGTGCGTGGTGCGTGCGTGCGTGCCCAAGATCCCGAGAGGAGAATGGAGGAGACGAGATTGCGGCGTGGCCATCCTCCCGGGGGGGATGATTTCTTGCTTTCTGTCTCTCTGTCTTTCTGGCAAGCACACACACCCTATAGCAAGAACCTCTCCAAATAAATAAATAAATAAGTAACTTGTGAGACTCATCAGGGATCCTGATACTAAAAGTTTAAGAATTTCTGTCTTGGGGCCAGCAGGTGGGGTGGTAGTTAAGGTGCTGGACTCCCACAGGGCCTACTGTGGTTCAAGTCCTAGATCCAATGGCTTGAAAATAATGCTGGGCACATGGGCATGTGTGCCTAAAACCCTGAGAGGAGAAGGGACTGTGGCATGGCCATCTCCCCAAGGGGTGATTTCTCACTTTCCCTCTCTGTCTCTCTAGCAAGCACATTCACTCTATGGGAAAAAAAAAAAAAATTCTGTCTTATCATTTCCTCTCCTTCCAGGACCAATTTAAAGCAATTAGGGTCTGATGTCTCATTCTGAGCTGGCCCTCTGAGCTGTATATAGTTGGCCCTCCATCACTGCAGGCTCTGTATTTGCAGTCAACCAATTGCAGATCAAAAATACTCAAAAAGATGAAATGCAAATAAAAAACAATATAGTGTAACTGTAGCGATTACACTGTCTTAGGTATTATGGATAATCTAGAGATGATTTAAAGTATACAGGAAGATGTGCACAGTTTATATACAAATACTACGTTATTCTAGATTAGGGACTTGCACTTTTGTGTGAGGTCCCAGAACCAATTCCCACAGACACAGAGAATAACTGTATATAGGAGTGAGCAATACAGTCCCAGCGAGGCACCTCAGGCTTTACCACTCAGCATGGAACATTTCTTTCCATCAAACTGGCATTAACGACTACGCGGCAAGGCTAAGCAGCAAAACGGCGGGCTGACAACATTGACTCCCAAGTCAAATTCTTTGATCGGATCTGGAAACTACTGCCAAATGATCCTGGGGCAAGTTACCTAAAACTTTTTTTTTCCTTTTTTCTTTTGGAGAGATTTTTGCTATAGGGTGCATGCGCTCGCCAGAAATAGAGAGACAGAAAGCGAGAAATCAGCCTCCAGGGGGGATGGCCATGCCGCAATCCCTTCTCCTCCGTTCTCCTCTCGGGATCTTGGGCACGCATGTACACGCGCCCGGCGTGAGTTTAAACTGTTGGGTCCGGGACACAAACCGTGGTCGACTACATGGGAGTCCAGCGACATAGCCATTACGCTAACTGCTGGTCCCTACCTTTTGTATGTCCCAGCATGTATATGGAATCTAGGAATATTACTATACCTGAGGAGTCAATGAAAGATTACATGCTAAGTACTAAGGAAGGCTCTGACATATGGAAAATGGTCAGTAACATTAGCTAGCTGTTGTCATTTTCTGCCACCAAATAAGAGTCACCACCTAACTGCAGTCAAAAGTTATCCTTGCTCCAAATGTTCCCTATTAGGGTGCGGCAGGAGGGCGCAGCTGCACCTGGCAGGGCTTCCTGAATGCAACGGAGCTTGGAAAAGAGCAGAATCCTCCACTTTGGCCTTCTCTGAGGTCAGACAGTAGCCTTGAGTGTAGTTGGTGTGATAGCACTCCCTAAAGTCATAATCAGGAAATGCGAGAACAGTATGTTTCTCCCACGAGGCAATCATGACAGGGCTATTTTAAATGTCAAACACAAACCTGGAACCAGGGAAGCAACAACCGCTTCTGTGCACCTCCTGCCAGCAGCCACCCATACTTCATGAGACAAATGAAACCACATAGAGCTAAGCTTGCCATTCCTTCCCTTTCTGAAAGTCTGTCTCCCCTCTGCCCCACCATCTTCTTTTTTCAATTCAGCTCCTGAGAAGTGTGCTACTGCCATACCTCCCTTAAGTAAAATGGAGAATTTATTTATGGGGGGGGGGGCTGCGCAGTTGCAGGGCTGAACTTTTAGCTTGCTATAAAGTTAATGTGCTATTCAGTGTTCATTCCAGGCAAGCCTGTGGGGCTGTGTATTTTCTGCCACCCCCAAAAGGCCATTATCTGTAATTGCCCATTACCGGGCATAATTACTCCTCCTAGCCTGGTCTACGACCTCCAGGCTTACACACTGTTATAGTGAACTACCCCATCTTGCCAGAGTTCTGAAGGAGGCTTTTCTGACCTTTCGTTCTTTCCTGGTCTAATCCAAAGCCAACACTGGGTCACTTTTCAGACACGCTTATCCAGAATCAGGAACATTCCGTATTTCTTCCAGATGTACTTTTCTCACCTCCATGGAGATCTGCCTTACCCCAAATATAGGGAATATAAAGCATAATCGACTGTCCATTATGTGGGAGCAGATGACCCAAACTGGGAGTTATCTGGACCCCTTCACACTCCCTCTCCTTTTGCATTTTGCTGTCTAATTGTATCACGCTGTTTAAAGACTGCTCCTGGGAAAAGGTGGCGCTAGGGAAGACAATAGAGAGGGGAAACTTAAATCTCGAACTCATAGATGACATGCTCCCATATTTAGTTTAGCTTTTTTTCTCCCTTGGACAGGAAGAAGAATTATGCTTAAATTACTGATTAAAATCAGATTTGGGTATCAAGCAGGTGGCTTGTAGGTTAAGGTGCTACATCCCACATGGCCAAATGGATGGTTCAAGTTCCAGATCCAGTGGCTTTGGAATCACGCCGGGCATGTGAGCCCAAAATCCAGAGAGGAGAAGGGATCTGGCATGGCCATCCCATGGGGGAGGGGGGTAATTTCTCCCTACCCCTCTCTTTCTTTCTCTCTCTCTCTAGAGAATACATGTGCCCTGCAGCCACACACACACACACACACTAAATAAAAAATAAAACTCAAATAAATAATCAGATTTGGGTATCTGAAATATTCACTTCAAAACAGAAATCTAGGACCAGCAGGTGACATGGTGGTTGACGTGTTGGATTCCTACATGGCTGACCGTAATTCAAGTCCTGGACCCTGCAGCTTGAAAATCACACCGCACATGTGCATGCAAGCCCAAAATCCCAACAGGAGAATGGAGGAGAAGGGAATGCGGCATAGCTATCCTCCCTGGGGTGTGATCTCTCATTTTCCTTCTCTCCGTCTCTCTCTAGTAAGCGAACAAACCCCATAGCAACATCTAAGAAGAAGAAAAAACTATGAAATCTAGAACCACATCCCAAAGTACAGCTTTACATTTAGCTTGCAGCTTCAGGATGGCTGGCTGCACAGTGGGTGTCAAATGGCTGGCCACTTGAGAGTAGTTCTTTGTTTTTCCCATAGCCACCTCCTTCAGAAGCCCCTGCTACACACTACATGTGTGAGATCTACCTCTAAACTACTAGGTCATGAGAAACGTCATGACGTATTTTGCATAGAAAAACACGTCATGACTTTTCTGATGACCCAATATTACAGGTTCACAACCAGTCCAAAGGATCATACACTGTCAGAGATAAGGCCACTCCATTTTGGTGTGGCTCATGGCTCTATTGTCTTTTTGTCTTCCTTTTCTTCTTCTGTTTTCCTTTTTCTTCCTCTGAAACTTTAAGTCAATACAAGAGCTGGCCCCATAGCCTTTTAGTTAAGAGAGCCTGATCCCATACAGCTGACTACAGAGTTCAAACCTCAGGCCCAGGAGTTGAAAAATGCACTGTGCAGATGGGTGTGTGCACGTCCACCACCCAAAAGCATGGAGAGATAGAAGAGAAGGGACAGTGGCATGTCCACCCCCAACTGGGGAGTGCTTTCTCCCTCTCCTTCTCTCTGGCAAATGCATGTGACCACTGGCAACTTAAAAAACGTGAAGGGGCCAGCAGATAGTGTGGTGGTTAAGACACTGGATTCCCACATGGCCAACGATGCCTCAGTTCTGGACCTGGTAGCTTGAAAACCACACTGGGAATGCATGTAGTGTGTGCATGTCTGAAATTCCAAGAGGAGAGTGGAGGAGAAAGGACCATGGTATGGCCATTCCGGTGGTGGGTGCTTTCTCACTTTCCCTCTCACTCTCATTTTCTCTCTCTGTCTCTCTGGTGAGTGCATTCACCCTATGGCAAAAACCAAAAAAATAAATAAAGAAGAAACTGACTCTACAAATAAGAACTCATGACCTGGCCACAGTGGCATGCAGGTGGTGGCATCACTACTTGAAGGCTGGAGGCAGCAGGGCAGGCCAATCTGAACACACTAGGCCTGACCTGCCATCCTAGCTAACTGGGAGGCAGGGGCAAGAGGACTGCACCACTGAGGGGCTCTATCAAAAAGACCTACCTCTGTCTCCCTCCCTGTCTCTTCCGCTCTCGTTCTCTCCCATAAATAAAAAACAAACAAACAAAAAAAACCCTCACATCCATTCTTTCAACCATCACTTTTATGTAAGTCAGGTAAGGTGAGCCAGAGATTTAAACCTATCAGCTCCTCACAGAACGCCACATCACGGAAGGCCTTGAAAGTAATCTCATCCCTTGCTTCAAAGGCCAAAAAGTTCAAGTGGAGAGTCTAAGGACACACCAACAGGCTGTGGGGCCACAGTCAAGGTCCCAGGTCTGAGACCTCACATGTGGCCACTGTGCTGGGGCATTTGGTAGCACTTAAAGTAGAGAGGGAATCTATGAAAAATCCTGGGGAGTGAGAACTTCCAGGATTGGAGGAGGACGTGCACTGGGGCCAGGCATGGAGAGCGCCACCTGTGGCGAAGGAGTCTGCAAAGTCTGCGGGCAGCACCTGGTATCGTCCGCAACTGCGTCAACCAGGAACTACCTGAGATCCCAAAGTTTATTCCACCCCCAAAACAACACTAGTTTAAAGAGTAGGAGAAAAGGGAAAAGTCAAATCTGAACCACCAACACCAAACACATACTCCTCCAATCACACAAGTTTTAAGATGAGGGTTTTTTTGTTTGTTTGTTTGTTTTAGGGGTTATAAAAATAAAGGGTTATGAGAAACCCTGAGAAAGACAGAGAGAGGGGCTGACACATAAAAAGCTAAGAAGAGTTCCTTCCATATCCACAGAAGGGATCATTGTGTTCTGAAATTTCACTCAAGAAATTAACACATCAGGCTTTGAAAAAAGAGATGCTGCTTTGGGTTGATGATTCCTGTTAGATGCCATGGCCCTTTGGATCATTAAGAAAAAGGAAGTGCCATCATTAACAAGAACATCTGATTCTGAGTACACATATATTTAAGGCTTGAGCGTCTTACACCTGTTCACTGTGGGTATTCAGACTGTGTGTTTAACCTTTTTTTTTTTTTAAATAAAGGGCTAGAAAAATGACCCCAAAGGTCAAACAGAGCAAGAACTAAATATGGACATAAAGATGGGCATTGGGGGCCATCGAGTGGCATGGTGGTTAAGTGCGCTGGACTCCCACATGGCCAATCACGGTTCGAGTTCCGGACCTGGGAGCTTGTTTTCTCTCTCTCTGTCTCTCACCATCCCTCTCTGTTCAAATTAAAATAAATAAAGTTAAATAAAAAATAATTCTTAAAAAGAAGAAAAAGATGGGCAACAGATATCTTCCCTATATAAAGATTCATTGTAGGTTCTATGCTCTTTCTGAGAACTAATCAACTGATTCTGTGTTCCTATCCCACCAACCAACCTTGCAGAATCTCAATAAACAAAATAAAGCCACTTCCCAAAATCTCAAGACCAGGCAAAAAAGCTTCAAGGCATATTCATTTTCTCCATTATTGTCTTCAGACAGGATCAAATAGTGTAGGAGATCCTAAGAATCCATCCTTACACACAGCTGAGAGCACCGTGCCAACGTTAAGGTCTCACTTACTAGGACTACACTTCAAACTTTTTTGCTCATTTGGTTTTAGAGAAGTAGAAAATACATGGCCACCCCACAAATAGTTTATTTTCTTCAAAGCGATTAGGTATTTCCACCTCAAGGCTAATTGTTTCTCTTTCTGGTGAGCTTGCATGCTCTCTAGCAAATTAAAGCAAATTAAAAAAAAAAAGGAAGAAGAAGAAGAAGCTGGGGGGGGGGTGGCAGAAAACTATTCTCAAGCTCTTTTCCTTTCTTCCCTTCCAAATCTGTGCATTATCGATTTTCTCTCTGCAGGTCATCAATAGCCTACTCTCTTTAATAGCCACTCCTCATTGTTACCTTTTCATTGACTCTCATCTCACCTTTTCCACTGTTCACCTGCTAAGCTGACAGGTTTCCTTCCTTCATTTCACTTGCTCAGTTTGCCTAAATGAGTTAGTATATGTGAAAACAGATAGCTCAGAGCCTGGCCCCCTCCTCCCTCACAAGACAAGCCATACTTAGGACATGAAAACCATATAGAACTGTGTATAAAAACTTAACAATAAAAAGACAAAAAGAATCCAGCTTTAAAAGGACAAAGGACACGAACAATCATTTCTCCAAAGAACATACACAAACGAACAGTAAGCACATGAAAAGATGCTCAGTGTCGACAGCAAAACAAAAATCAAAACCACAACGTGAGGGGAACCAGCAGTTAGCGTAATGGCTATGTCGCTGGATTCCCACATAGTCGACCGCGGTTCGTGTCCCGGACCCGGTGGCTTAAAACTCACGCCGGGCGCGTGTGCGTGCGTGCCCAAGATCCCGAGAGGAGAATGGAGGAGAAGGGATTGCGGCGTGACCATCCCCCCTGGGGGGTGATTTCTCGCTTTCTGTCTCTATGTCTCTCTCTGTCTGTCTGGCGAGCGCACGCGCCCTACAGTGAAAATCTCTCAAAAAAAAAAAAAAAAACCACAACGTGATACCACTTCACCCATTAGCTGGCTCTAACCAGAAAAACACTGAGTAACGCGCTTTGGTGAGGATGTGAAGAAATCGGAGTCCTCGGTTTCTATGGCTGGTGGAAATGTAAAATGGTGTACCTACTTTTGGAGACCAGCCTAGCAGTCCCTCAAAATGTTAAACACAGAGTTACCATTCGGTCCAACAATTCCACTCCTAGGCATATACTCAAGAAAATGAAGCATATAGTCAGACAGCAATAAACACATGAATGTTCTTCATGAGCTGATGAATAAACAAAATATGGTGGGGCCAGCAGGTTGGCATGGTGGTTAAGGCGCTGGATTCCCACATGGCTGACCATAGTTCGAGTGCTGGCAGTAGCTTGCTTTCTCAATTTTTCTCGGCTCTCTCTCTCTCTCTCTGGTGGGCACATATGCCCTATAGCAAATTTTTAAAAATTGTAATAATAGGAACCAGCAGATGGCATAATGGTTGTGTTATTGGACTCCGACATTGTTGACCATGGTTCCAATCCGGGACCC